CAGAAACAAAACATGGAAACTTTAGTTTAATTGGCTATAGCTTAAGAATTTGCCTTATTTAGAAAAGCTTAGTTGGCTGTTTGTGATTGGTTGTCCTTAGTTTTTTATTTCTTAATCTTGAGGCATTTGCTGGCTTAAGTTTTGATTTGACCATCTCAGTCTAATGGCCTCCTTGTTTAATTACTTTAATGCAGGCATATGATTGAATTTTTAAGGTTCAAATAACCTTTCCTCAATTGAGTTAACCAGTTCCTCCTCCAGCAAGTAGCTATAAGCCCATCACTGCTGAGTTTTAGCAGTCATACCCTACACCCACTAGATCAAGGTAATTGAATAGCAGAAGCTCCATGGAGGCAGGAACCAGGGCAGAGTTTTTCTACAGATTGAGAGGACTGCTGGGTGGATGGCATGTGATAGAGTAATGGCAGCCTCACCACATGGGGAGGATGAGAAGTACTCTGCTCCGTCTGCGGCTGGCTGTGAGACTAAGTTCAGGTCAGGACAGGGTATCATGAGAGGACCTGTAAATCAAAATGGGAAGTATTCATTCATACAACAAAACAGCTTAAGGCCTGGGCGCCTGGGTGGCTCAGTTGGTTGGGCAGCTGCCTTTGGCTCAGGTCATGATCCTGGTGTCCCGGGATTGAGTCCCACGTCGTCGAGGTCCCAGCTCCATGGGGAGTCTGCTTCTCCCTCTGACTTTCTCCCCATTCACACTCTCTCGCTCTCTCTCACTCTCAAATAAATAAATAAAATCTAAAAAAAAAAAACAGTTTAAGGCCTAAATTTTCTACAAACAGTTGCCTTGATTTTTTCTTTATGTACGCAAAATATAAAATTGGTAGTTCATGAAAGCAGTTGAAAAGCCAAATTCAAAGGAAGATGTCATCATCAGTTTTCAATGAACCATCCGTAGCTGCCATTTGGTTGTTGCAAGTATTTCAAGTAGCTTAACTCTGATTTCTTCAGAATAAAGTTGAGCATCTTGCTATTAGGAAGATAAATATAAATATTCCAATGACACTTCTTTGAGTAGTATGAATTTATGTCAGTTAAAAAATGGTATGTAAATTTGGTAGCTTTGTAGAGATAAACAGTGTTTTCAAATTATGAGAAATTCCGTATTACAAACACCATTTGGGATTATTAATTTTCAATTGTTTATTAGGCAAATCATACTAATATTTATCCTAACAGTTGTAACAATAAATTGGTGACCCTCTTGACATCTTTTGCTTCTTCTTCATGACTTTTGCCACTATGGTCAAAAAATTAAATTTCTTTTTTTTTTAATAAAGACGTTTTATTTATTTGAGGAGAGAGAGAGAGAGAGAGAGCCCACGTGACCATGAAAGTGGGGTGAGGGGCAGAAGGAGAAGCAGGCTCTCCACTAAGCAGGGAGCCGGATGTGGGGCTCAATCACGGGACTCAGGACTCAGGATCATGACCTGAGCTGAAGGCAGATGCTTAAAAATGACTTGAGTCACCTAGGTGCCCCACAACTTAGATTTCTTTAAAAATTTTTAGTAATAGTAGAAACTAAGTAAGGCTCAAAATATGGTTGTCAGTATTTCATTTGAAGACTGTGAATGTAAACTGATTGTATTATACGTACGTAATTCAACCTTTTCTCATGAAAAATGATCTTTGATTAGTAGCTATGATATTGTGATCTTTAATAAGAAATATATATTTGATCTACCCTACCCATTCCTGGCACCAACCTCTTAAAACCTTTAGGGTTTCTTCAATGATTAGAGCAAACAGGGAGCATCTTTTGTTTTGGTCTTTCCTCTTCAAATAGCTCCAGTGATAAGGGTGAAAGTGTCTTTTGTTATTCATAACAAGACCCTTTCAACTACACCTGAGTTTATGTTAATGAGATGATTTTTGGAAATTCCCTAAAGATGAGATCTGGTTGCCCGGGGAACCAACCGGTGATTATAGGATTGCAACTTTCAGCCCCACCCTCTAACCTCTGGGTAGGAGGAAGGGATTGAAATTTGAATTAATCATCAATGAATTAATCGTCAAGATTTAATCAGTTATGCCTCTGTAATGAAGCCTCCATAAGAATGCAAAAGAATGGGATTCAGAGAACTTTTGGATTGTTGATAACAGAGGTGCTGAGAGGGTAGGGTGCTTGGAGAGGCCATGAGAGTTCTCTGTCCTGAGCTGAGAATAGAAGTTAAGTGGTAGAGATAAATTTTATTAAAAAGAAAGAAAGAAAGAAAGAAATTAATTGCAATCGAGGAAGAGACATTCCTCAGAACAGAACTCAGCTCTATTCTAAATACAACCAGAACAAGTGGAGAATTATAACCAAGAAATTAGTTGAGGGGAGGAGCCTTGGTGGATGGAAATTACTAAGGGCAGACATTAATTCTGGGGCATTCTGACTGAACTGACCTAATGGGATTCTTGCTGAAGGCAGGCCAGAGTGACCAGATAATGTGTGTGTGTGTGTGTGTGTGTGTGTGTATGTTGGCTGGGGGGTTCTAGGGGGATTCAGAATAGTGGGGGATATCAAGGGTGGGGAATTTTCACTAAAATGATTTAACAGGATTCTTGCTGAAACTGGATTCTACAAGGAACTACAGCAAGGGATGGGACTTGTGGGAGAGTAGGTTCAGGGGAGCCTAAAATTTGGTCAAGAAAAGAATCTTTTTCATGCCCTTCATCCATACTGTGCCCTACACATCTCTTCCTTTGGGATATTTATTGGTATCCTTTCAAATATCCTTTATGTTAAAAAACAAAAATTCAACTGTGTAAATTTGATGATTTAATTGACCATTCAATTATTCATAAATCATGCATCGTCCCATGTGGGAAGTGGAAAGTTGCTCCTAGGAACCATACAAAATGGGGGCAGAAACAGGGTGGGACAAGGAAGTTTTTAGTAAAAGAAGGGAAAGGATCAGTTCAGGCAAGGTCACCTTCCTTTGGAGGAAGAGCAGATGACCTCACTAGTGCTGATCAGGAAATTCCACATTGACTGGTTAAAGGTCACATTCATTCAATTAAGTCTTAGTTTACTGTCTTGGAGCAAGTGATGCCACTGGGGGCCTGATCTTTCTTTTTCTTTTTTCTTTTCTTTTCGTTTCGTTTCGTTTCGTTTCTTTTCCTTTCTTTTCTTTTCTTTTCTCTTTTCTTTTCTTTCTCTCTCTCTTTTTAACATCTGTAGTAAATCATTAATAGTAAGTTACATGTTCCACTGAGTTCTGTGAGCCGTTCTAGTAAATAAATTAACCCGAGGAGGGGGGTCATGTTCATAGGCAGTTGATAGGTCAGAAGCCCAGATGACAATCTGGACTTGTGTTTGGCATCTGAAGGGTGGTAAGGAGCAGTCTTGTGGGACTGAACTCATAATGTGTGGTATGTGATGCTAACTCAGGGTAGCATAGTGTAGAGTCAGAATTGAGTTAAATTGTAGGACACTGAGCTGGTGTTTGGAGAATCAGAGACTTGCTTGGTGTGGGGAAATATCCCCACACATTTGATGACTAGAAGGGTCAGAGATGAAGTATTCTGTGAGTAGAGTGTAGTATCAAGACTAGAGGAGAAACACAGGAGTTTTTTCCCCCTCTACGGTAATTAATTTCAGGATCTATGTAGTCAGGAATTCTTAACAATGACAGAAACCCAGCTTAAACTAGCTTACTTAAAATAGAAATATATTGGCTCAAATAATCCATAACGACAAGGGTATTTCTATTCCCAGAAATGATTTCTGTTTCCAGGCATGACTTAATCCAGGTTCATATAATATCATCAAGTTCTCTTGGGTCTGCTTTTCTTTGTATATTGGCCACCTCCATGGTACACAGATAATGGTTAATGAAGGCCCCAGAGTTATACCTTTCCACATTAGGAGTCCATAAGACAAACTTGCCCCGCTAATTTTTGCTTGGGGTGGTTGTATTCCAACTCCAAACATGTCCAAGGAAATTGCCCAAGTATTCGTTATATACCAACCTCTGTGGGCAGAAAAAAACAGAATGCCTAGTGAAGAGGAGGAAAGGAATAAAAACTTGTTAGCCAAAAAAATGTAATATGAGTGGGATCAGGAAGCAAATTATAATCATCATAAAACCCACTGAAAATGGCTGTAAATTTAGGAATGTATATAACAGACCTGTAATATCACAAGGGGATAATTTCACAGGGGTAGGAAGCTAAAAGCCAGCTGTAGGATATCCTCTGCAATGGAGAACAAGTCAAAACAAATTCAACTGGACCAAGCACATTATTAGTGAGGCTGAAGACTAACTCTGTGGTCTGGACTCAGGAGTCAGCAGAGTCTCCAAGGCCTGATGCTTTCCTAGAAATTTAAAATGTGCTATTCCTCAAATTTTAAAAATGTTCCTAACTTAATCTAGAAGTCCCAAAGAATTTATGAGATGTCTGGGGTTCCATGGATCCTCTCGGGAGCTCTAATAGATTGGTTGGTGTCAAGAAGACCAATGAAATTCTACGGATGCTGGCCAAATTAGAAATGTAGTAGACCAGATATTCCTAATGTGTGTCAACTATGTGCTAGGGTAGTGGTTTCCAAAGTCTGGGCTCTGATAAGCAGGGATCAGGAACATCTGGGACTTGTTAGAAATGCAGATTCTCAGACCCTTACCTGGGATTATTGAAGCAAAAACTCTGGGGAGGAGGCCTGGCATTTGTGTTTTAACAGAATTTCAATTAAAAAAAAAAAAGATTTATTTACTCATTTTAGAGAGAGAGACCACAAGCAGGGGAGGGGCAAAGGAAGAGGGACAGAATCCTGAAGCAGACTCCATGTTGAGTGGGGAGCCTGACTTGGGGCTCTATTCCAGGACCCTGAGATCCTGACCTGAACAGAAATCACCAGTTGGACACTTAACCAACTGAGCGGCACAGGTGCCCCTCATCCAGCTGATTCTAATGCAACTGAAGTTTGAGAACCACTGATCCAGACCAGATTGGAAATGAACTTTATTAGCTGGACATTTTTTTTTTTTTTTTACGCAACATTCATTATATTTATTTTACTAAATAGTATGGTTCAAAAAAACACAAACAAATCAGAAAACTTTTACTTTAAAACTAGTCCAGTGAGATGGATGGGGTTGATGCCATCCCATCCCCCTTCTTTTTATATATATGGAGCTGGAGCCATTTCTGCCAGCAAGCACTCATGTTTACTTTGCCTTTCCTTTGAACATGAATGAACTTCTCTGAACAAGAGAGACAAATGAAGTTTTACAAGATACAGGCACTTTATGTTCCCAGTTTAAAAATAAGCCAAGTGAAAAATATTTAATAAAAGTAACTGGAACAGACAAAAGTTTAAGAGTTCTACCATTAGTTCTAGTGACTTACACTCAATGCAAACAGACAGCATCAAACAAGTAAAACAAACAAAAGTTTAACTGGGGTTAACGGGCATATACGTAAAAGAAGAAATCCAAGTTACTACAACTGGAGAAAAATGGCCATTTGAATCCAACTTAAAGATATGCCAACAATGTGCATTAAATCTTGTGTACCTATGTAGCTGAGTAACATCTGAAAGCTTTGCCAGAGTGTGTAAGTGAGAAAAGCAAAAGGTGCTTTTGATTCCACAGTATCTGATTAAACAAAACAAAGCAATTTACAAAAAAAAGTACCAAATGATACTTTAAAATAAATAGTTCATCATTTTGATGAATATATACATGTAGAGTCCACTTCCTGGGGATTTAGCTATCTAAAAGTGGCATATCACTATCCAGAGGTGCAGGAGCAAGTTCACATAAATAAAACAGTGTGGCTTCACTAGCTTCGGCTTCAGTCAATGGCTCCAGGCGAACAAGCTTACTCTGGGTTGGCTCTGGATCTAGGCTGCTATCCAGAAGCTCATCAACTTCTATGGGTTTATCTACTGAGGACATAACTTCTGATGATGCTGTACTCCCCTGTTCAACAGTAGAAGCAGGGTTCCCATTGAGGAATGCAAGAAGTGGAAAGGCAGTGTACTGGATAAGCTGCTTATCTGTTTTGGGTTTAGATTTTCTTCCCTCTTCTGAAACTGGCTGAACTACATTGTTCTTGGTAGTTTCTAATCCTTTATTCTCAGAATCAACCAGGAGATCTGGATCTATGCTAAACTGTCTTCCTGACAGCATGGCTTGGAAGTCCTCTAAGCTGCAATCAATGCTGTCAAGATAATCCAACAGCTCAACCTTTCCCAGAAGATTGATGTTATCATTTAAAATGGAATCCATCATGGTCACAGGATCTTCTGTGGTCAGACTAGATGAGCCATTTAGCTGGACAGCACTAGACATAAGAGGACTGGTGCCATCACTGCCTGAACTTAGTGATTCTCTGGCTGGTTCATTCTGATCTCCACTCTGAATGACAGGTGCATACTCATCTTCATTGTCATCCTCAACAATGACAATATCAGGGTATTGGCTATAGTTGGAAGGATCAGCTATAACGTCCTCATTAGTTTCTGGAATAACTGGGATATTTTCTTCATCTGCATTATCATCAGTTACATCATAAATAATGATGTCATCTGAAATCCGCTCCCTTGCCTTCAAACCTTCAGTCCTACTGTGTGGAACTTTATGATGGTGATTATCAGCTGGTTCTTTGACTATATGCTGAAACAGATTCTTCTTTTGGGCTCCATTAGTGTTGAGAAGTAGAGGCCTTTTACGTTTTAAACTCACAAGCTGGTTATTCTGAACCAACGTAACAATAAACTGGACAATCTTTTGAATAACTTGTTGCTGTTGTGCATGTTTTGCTCGTAATTCTGACACCTCCTTCCAAAGGGACTCATTCTCACTTTTTAATTCAGAAAGCCTGGACTCAATAGTTTCTTGTTTTATTTGAACCTTCTGAGCACTACTTATAATTTTTGTTAAATCTTCCTGACGAATCTTATTTTCTTCTGGTTTTGAAGAAGAAACCTTCCTTTTAATGTTTTCCAACAAGTCATCCTGGCCTTGTTTGAAGTAAGGATGCTGAAATTCAACAGGACCATCTCGTTCCTGCTTTACAATTCCAGAGTCAATATGCACAACCTTACGGAAACCATACATATTCAGTTGCCTCACAAAGCTTGCCATATTATTGTGCTTGAAATATTTGGGAAGAATTTCTTTTGCAAATCTTTGTTCATCCAAAACCAGAAAACTCTGGCCATTCTGGCTCCAGGTGATGAACTCGTTGGTGTGGGTTTCCTCCACAAGCGTCCACAGCTTGCTGAGGAAAGCAGGCACGTTCGAACTCTGCTTCATTGTTAACGAGACGCAGGGATTCCAAATTCTACACCCGAACACGGCGGCAGCAGTAGCGGCAGCGGTAGTGGCGACGGCGGCGGCGGCGGCAGCTGCTGCTCCGGGAGCAGCTGGACATTTTTAAGATTTTTTTTTCTTTTGATTCCAGAGAGAGAGAGCACATAAGACTGGTGGTGGAGGGGAAGAGAGGTACAAGTAGACTCCACACTGAATAAAGAGTACAATGTGGGGATCCCAGGACCCTAACATCATGACCTGGGCCAAAAACAAGAGTTATACGCTTAACTGACTGAGCCACCTAGGCACCTCCTTTATTTATTACTGGCTGGACTCTTAAAACACACTTTGTTATGGTTCACATTATTGATCTGTCAGAAGAAAATGGAGTTGTAACTCTGAATAACTCCCCACCAAGTTCATGAAGAATTATCATGTCTTCAGTGTAGATTATACTGTTAGCTGGTCATTTATTCCATAAATAAGTGTACTGTATAATTATGTGGAAACCAAATGTTTTGGTGGATTTTTTCTTTTTCATTCTGTATAAATAGGCTGTTGTTATTATCCAAATTAATAGCTGTATTACATTCAGATTTATATAATACAATATAAAATTGCCATAATTACATTTCATGAAAAACACAGCTTGTATGGCAATGCTAAAATGATCAATATAATGTGACATCCTGCATAACACAAACACAGGAATGCACCCAAAAGTTAGATCTTGGAAAGTATTAATCATAGTTTTAGATAATAGAATGCACATTAAACAGTATGACTGTGATTATATAGTTTTAGCAATAAATAACTTGAAAGTCGATTACAGACTGGTTCTGATATGAAAGTGAAAGGAAAACAGAGACGTTTATGAGGCAGGTGAGCAAATACTGAGAAGCTACAGTTGGTGGTCATTAACGGCTGACACAGAGCGCTTACATGCACCAGACACTGTGTTAGGAGCTCTAACAAATACGGACTTGGTGGAGCCTGAAAACTTTCCCAGGAAGTACATCGCTTGCCTTCATTCACTCTGCTTCAGAGAAGAGGTTTGAAACAAGGCTTAGAAAAGTTCAGTATGCTTTGCCTTAGGTAAAGGAGCTGATAAAGGGGGAGGCACAGCTCAAACCCAGTCTTTCCTTCCTTTGAAGTAGGTGCTCCTAACTACCAAAATATTAGAGTAAAACAACACATCACAGAACAAAAGATTAATCTTTAGGACCTTGAATTAGGTAATGATGTCTTAAATATGACACCAAAAGTATAAGCAACAAAAGAAATAAAATAAATGGGACTTCATAAAAATTAAGAACTTTTGGGCTTCAAGGAACATCAAGAAAGTGAAAAAAAAACCCCAATATTAAAAATGGCATCTGATGGGGGCACCTGGATGGCTCAGTCAGTTAAGTATCTGACTCTTGATCTCAGCTCAGGTCTTGATCTCAGGGTCATGAGTTTAAGCCCCACATTGTGGTCTGCAACGGGCATGGAACCTACTTAAAAAAAGAAAAAAAAAATCTTATCTGATAAGGGCTGTATCTAGAATATATAAAGAACTCTTATAATTTATTATAAGCTGAAAGTTTCTGACCCTGCAAAATTCCTGTATTGAAGGCCTAATGCCTGGTGTGGCTATATTTGGAGAAGGAACATTTAGGAATGTAAGTAAGGTTAAATGAGATCATAAGGGGTGGGGCCCTGGACCAATAGGATTAGCATCCTTATAAGAAGAGACAGAAGAAAACTCCCTCACTCTCTCTTTTTCCTCAGAGAAAAGGCCATGTGACTAGAAAGTATTCATTTGCAAGGCTGGAAGGGAGCTCTTACCAGAACCCAAAACCTGTCAGAACTTGATCTTGTATTTTTCAGGCTCCATAACTGTGAGAAAAGACATTTATGTTGTTTAAGCCACACATTCTATTGGTTCAATCTGTGGTATTTTGTTATGACATCCCAAGCAGATTAATACACAACTCAATAATAAAAAAAAATCCAATTAACAATGAGCAAAGGATCTGAATAAACGTTTCTCGGAGGAAGATATACAAATGGCCAATAAACATGAAAATTTGTTCAGTGTCTCTAGTGAGGAAAGATATCAGACCCATAATAAGACACCAATTCACATGTGGCTTTAATGGCTTTAAGAAAAAAAATGGCTTAATGGCCATTTAATGACTTTAAGAAAAAAAAAAGTTTGGCAAAGATATAGAGAAATTGGGACCTTCATAGCACTACACTGTTGGTGGGAATTTAAGATGGGCAAGTCACTTTGGAAAATAGTCTGACAGTTGCTCAAATGATTAAACATAGAGTTACCATATAACCTAGCAGTTCCACTCTTAAGTATATACCCAGGAGAAATAAAACATGTGTCCACACAAAAATTTGCACACAAATGTTTATAGCAGCATTATTCACAATAGCCAAAGGTAGAAACCCCCAAATACCTGTGGACTGATGAATGGATAAAGAAAATGTAGTATATTCACACATTGGAATCTTATTCAGGTGTATGTGCTCCTAAAAAGGACTCATGTTTTGATTTATGCTACAACATGGATGAACCTTGAAAACATCATGCTAACTGAAAGCATCCACTTACAAAAGACCTCATGATTCCATTTATATAAAATTTCCAGAACAGGCAATTCTATGGAGACAGAAAATAGACTGACGGTTGCTTAGGGCTGGAGGAATGGAGGATAGGGTTTGTGAGGTGATTGCAAAAGGGTATGGGATTTCTTTTTGGAGTGAGAAAATGCTCTGATTCTGGTGATAGTCACACAGCTTTCTGAGTATACTTTTTAAAAGTTGAATTATACATTTTGAGTGCCTTCAGTGGTTATATCTCAACAAAACTATTACTGAAAAGAAGAGTGAGAGTAGAGAATGATTATTGTCCTTGGGAGAGTGAGGGTTTAAGATAGGTGTTGGGGTAAGTGTAGTTAAGAATTAGCCAAAGATAAACTATTTCTGTCCATTGGTGAGAAACTGATTAAAACTAGATTGTGTGCCTGTCCAGGAATACCAAGCATGCGAAGTCAGAATTCTTTAACTCAGAGACTGGAGGACAGGAAGAGAGAACAGACTGAGAGATTTTGTTCAAAGGGGCCAAAGGTCAAGGTGCGGACCTTGGTTAGCATGTGTCCTTCCTAGGGTTCTTTCTTTTTTTCTGAGCATGGTCTCCTTTCTCTTGCCATCCTTCAAATGTCTGTGTCCTTTGGGACACACACGGGCTGCCCTCCAGTCTTCTTGCTCTTTTGGTGAGCACAGACTCTCTCATGTTTCAACTGCTATGTATGTTTTGCTGGGTCCAAAGTATATGTCCCTAGCTCAGACCCTCCCTGAGCATAACCCCTGTTATTAACCTGCCCACTAGACATTTCCACCTGATTGTCCCACACATGTCCCAAAATCAAATGTCCCACATTGCTTCTTCTCCATCCAGCTTATCAGCCTCTACTCACTATCTTGAAAAATGGGAAAGACTTTTTTTTTTTTTTAAATTTTATTTGACAGAGAGAGGGAGGGAGAGAGTACAAGCAGGGGGAGCAGGAGGCAGAGGGAGGGAGAGGCAGTCTCCCACCGAGCAAGGACCCTGATGTGGGGCTCAATCCCAACGCTCTGGGATCGTGACCTGGGCCAAAGGGAGTTACTTAAACGAATGAGCCACCCAGGAGCCCCCCAAAATGGGAAAGACTTTGAGAGTCAGCTCAGTTTTGCACACAGTAGAGTACTGGTTTCATAGGGCCCCCCAAAATGTGGTTTTTAGGTTTATAGACCAAAAGAGAACAGGGAAATGAAAAAGAGATTCAATAAATTATCCCTTTGATCAAGTCACACCTTTGGAGGACAACTCTCAATTATTCTTTAATGTGAAGAGATGAAAACCCAAATTCTATATGTTGTTACTCATAATTCAAGTTTCTCTGTAAATTTAATTCAAAAGAGCATGTATTCACTATATGAGAAATTGTGATATAGGTAGAGACCTTGACTTCAACTAGTTTATGGTCTAGCAAGGGAAGCCCACAGGTAAATAAGAAATTTCCATACAATGTGATGAATGTGAATAAAGACCAAGCATAAGATGCTATGGCAACACATAGGGCATCTTAGCCAGTAATTTGGGATAGGAGGTAGAGGGTAGAGGGTGTCTGAAAAGGCTTTTCTGAGGCTGGAATAGTTTCTGAAACCAACATCAAGAGTAAAAGTGTAGTAGAAGGAAGAATATTCCAGGCATGAGTCTCAGTCTCACCTGCCCATGGGCCCCTTCAGTAAGACTGAGCACAGAGAGCTGAGGCTTGGAGAGAGAATCTGGTTAAAGTAGAATGAGAAGTTCCAGTGAATAATGTCAGTGTCAATGAGAACTGACAAGTGGACATGAAAGGGGATTTAGCATTTTTCCAATAAGCTTGGCTGTGAAAGGGAGAGAAAGATAAGTAAGGCAAGAGGCGAAAGAGGGTGTGTGTTCGGGGGAGTGTTTGGGGTCATTTCCTGCGTGTGTTTCTAAGATAAGAGAGATGTTAGCAAGTTCCAATGCCGAAGGGAAGAAGAGAGAGTCAGGAGAGGCTGGGGGGAGGGGCTCTGGGGCAAGATGTCTACTGTGAGAGAGACTGAGAAGATGAAGCCTTCAGACACATTCTGTGGGGTTTGAAGGAAGGGCAAAGAGGGATGTGGCGAATAGAACCACAGGGATTTGATAGATTTCGTTTATAAAGTCAGTGATGGGGGCAAATCAGGTAGATGGTTTGTGGAGTGTGGAGAATGTTTGAAGTAGTTGTAATGACTTGCAGAAGGACTGAGTAGGAATGACTGAGTGAATAGCAAACAAACTGGTGTTTTCCATGAAGTTGGAGACCAGCTAACCTAGGAGTAAATAAGTAAGAAAACTGCAAAGATGAGAGATTGGCATTTGAGAGTGGAATGCCACTCTCCTCCTGAAGCCCTTGGATTATACATCTGGATTGATTTGTACTTCTGAAGAAATCCATGAAAAAGACAACAGCAGTCACTGGGGTGTGGGAGGGAGATTTGTTGGAAGAAGTTGCCCTT